TGGACAGGAAGACTCAAGACTGTGAAAATGTCTATTCTACCCAAAGTGATCTACAGATACAATGCAATCCCCATCCAAATTCCACCAGCATTTTTTAATGAGATGGAGAAACAAATCACCAACTTCATATGGAAAGGGAAGAGGCCCTGGATAAGTAAAGCATTACTCAAGAAGAAGAACAAAGTGGGAGGCCTCGCACTACCTGATTTTAGAACCTATTATACCGCCACGATAGTCAAAACAGCCTGGTACTGGTACAACAACAGGTACATAGACCAATGGAACAGAACTGAGAATCCAGACATATATTCATCCACCTATGAGCAGCTGATATTTGACAAAGGCGCAAAGTCTGTTAATTGGGGAAAAGACAGTCTCTTTAACAAATGGTGCTGGCATAACTGGATATCCATCTGCAAAAAAATGAAACGAGACCCATACCTCATACTATGCACAAAAACTAACTCAAAATGGATCAAAGACCTAAATATAAAATCGAAAATTATAAAGATCATGGAAGAAAAAATAGGGACAACGCTAGGAGCCCTAATATATGGCATAAACAGAATACAAACCATAAGTAACAAACATCAGAAGAGAAACTAGGTAAGTGGGAGCTCCTAAAAATCAAACACTTATGCTCATCAAAAGACCAAAAGAGTCAAACGACAACCTACAGACAGGGAAAAAAATTTTGGCTATGACAAATCTGATGAGCTTCTAATCTCTAAAATCTGCAAGATACTGCAAAACCTCAACAACAAAAAGCCAAATAACCCAATTAAAAAATGGGCAAAGGATATGAACAGGCACTTCACCAAAGAAGACATTCAGGTGGCTAACAGATACATGAGGAAATGCTCATGATCATTAGCCATTATAGAAATGCAAATAAAAACTACAATGAGATACCATCTTACCCCAACAAGGCTAGCATTAATCCAAAAAGCACAAAATAATAAATGTTAGAGAAGTTGTGAAGAGACTGGGACACTTTTACACTGTTGGTGGGAATGTAAAATGGTACAACCACTTCGGATATTGATTTGGTGCTTCCTTAAAAAGCTAGAAACAGAAGTACCATAGGATCCAGCAATGCCACTCCTTGGAATATATCCTAGTGAAATAAAAGCCATCACACGAATAGATACATGCACACCCATGTTCATTGCAGCACTGTTCACAACAGCAAAAAGATGGAAACAACCTAGGTGCCCATCAACGAGTGAATGGATAAACATCGTATATTCACACAATGGAATACTATGCAATGGTAAAGAACAATGATGAATCTGCGAAACATCTCATAACATGGATAAATCTGGAAGGCATTATGCTGAGTAAAATTATTTGCAAAAGGACAAACATTGCATGAGACCACTATTATAAGAACTCAAGAAAAGGTTTAAACACAGAAGAAAACATTCTTTGATAGTTATGAGGGTGGGGAGGGAGATGGGTATTCACTAACCAGATAGTAGATAAGAATTATCTTAGGCGAAGGGAAGGACAATACACAATACAGGGGGAGTCAGCACAACTGGAGTAAACCAAAAGCTAAGAAGCTTCCTGAATACAACCAAACACTTCGAGGGACAGAGTAGCAGTACCATGGTCTGGGGACCATGGTTTCAGGGGACATCTAGGTCAACTGGCATAACAAAGTTTATTAAGAAAATATTCTGCATCCCACGTTGGTGAGTGGTGACTGGGGTCTTAAAAGCTAGTAAGCAGCCATTTATGATACATCAATTGGTCCCAACCCACTTGGAGCAAAGGAGAATGAAGAACACCAAACACACAAGGAAAATATTAGCCTAAGAAACAGAAAGGGCCACATAAACCAGAGACTCCAGCCTGAGACCAGAAGAACTAGATGGTGCCCAGCTACCACCAGTGACCAGCCTGACAGGGAACACAACAAAGAGCCCCTGACGGAGCAGGAGAAAAGTGGGGTGCAGAATTCAAATTCTAGTAAAAAGACCAGACCTAATGGTCTGACTGAGGCTGGAGAGACCCTGGAAGACATGGCCCCCAGACTCTCCATTAGCCCAGGACTGAAACCATTCCCAAAGCCAGCTCTTCAGACAAAGATTAGACTGGACTATGGGACATAAAATGATACTCCTGAAGAGAGTGCCTCTTAGCTAAAGTAGATACAGAAAACTAAATGGGCAGCTCCTGTCCAGATGCAAGATTAGAAGGCAAAAAGGCACAGGAGCTGGTTGAATGGACACGGGAAATCCGGGGTGGAAAGGAGTGTGTTGTCACACTACAGGAAGAGTAGCTAGGGTCATATAGCAATGTGTGTATAAATTTTTGTATGAGAAACTGACTTGAACTGTAAACTTTCACTTAAAGCATGATTTAAAAAAAGATAAACGTAAACTAAGATGATAAATAAACTATAAAAAAAAAAAAAAAAAAAAAAGCCAGTTTCGTTATTCTTATGCAGTGTAATGTAGTGGGGGAAAAGTAAGCAATTTAAAATAGGAATACCTCCGATTCAGACACAACTCTATTACTTGCAGTTGTCCAACATTTCCTGGGTCTATTTCTTCAAATGGGCATCGTTACTGGCAGTATGGAAGGATGGGATTGTGGTTTTCTGCTGTCTTTTAAAGCTTGCTTGCTTTGTTTATCAAGATTATTAAAACTCCTGATACAAGGCAGTTTTTAAAATGAAATAACATTATCCATGCCAATTGCGTTATTACTGATGACGCTGTGATTGATTCACGCTTTACGAGAATCTGATCATGATGCGGTTGTTACGTTCCCGAAAGCCAACTGTTTGAAACCAGAGGAAAACAAGCTGCAAAGAGATTTGGTCCGCTAATCCCTCCCCGATGGCAAGACAGGGAAGTGTTCTGCTGTACGTGGTCGCTATGAGTCGGAACCGACTCGATGGCACCTAACAAGAACCTCTCCCGGCACCAAACAAACTAAAACAGTTCCGAATCCGAAGACTCGGGATTCTGGCTCCAGTCGTCCCTAACCACCAGTGTGGATCTGGACAAGTCACTTTACTTGCTGTGCTCCTACCACTGACCGCACTACGCGTGCCGCTCTTCCACTTCCCAGATTTCGCCCGCCCGCCCTTGTTGCTTCTTTCCTTTGTTCTGTGATCTCCAGCAATCCTCCCTCAACGTTCCGGCTCCTCCCCAAGATGGGCGGAGGGGCGCATCCGCACCCCAAGCGCAGGCCCACCCTGTGCGCCCCGAATCCCGCACCGCCTTGCGTCCCGCGACCTCTCCCACTTATCCGCGTCGCTCTAGGCATCTCGCCCGACGTCCTCCGCCCCCAGAGCGGGGCTCCGAGGCTCCGGACCGCGGGCTGAGTGCGCCGCTCAAGGTGCCCTGGCCGTCGCCACCCATTTGCCCCGCGCACGCCGCCAAGGGCCCTTCCCGGGACCGCGCGCCGCGGCTGCTGGAGGCTGGCTCTTGGTCGGGCTGGGTTCGCCGCCACCGAGTCCGGCGGAGGCCCGCGCGACCCACGTGTCCAGCGTAAACCCTCCCCGGGCCAGCGGCTGCTCGCCACGGACGCTCTACGGCAAAGCCCGCAGCAGCCCGGGAGCGGCGTGCCAACCGCGAGCGGCACGTGCGGGTCGCCGGCGCCTCGCCGCGTGGTGCTGGTTCCAGCAGAGCCCGCGAGCAAGCAAGTAGGGGAGTGGGTGCGTGGGCCGGCCTGGGAGGCGAACGCCTCGGGGGAGAGGAGCCACGCGGCGGGGGCGGCGGGGGCACTGCAGTGCCACCTCTCCCGAGGAAGCTCCGGCTTTCACACGCCCGCGCGCGCACGCACGTGCACACGGGTGGCGGGGAGAACCCGAGCGAGAACCTCTGAGTGCTGGACGCATTTTAGCGATGGCTTCTGCTCTCAATAGCAAAATGCACCCGCCTGGGACTTGCTCGGGCTCCAAAGCCGATGTCCGCGGGGGTGCCGGCTGGAAGATGGACTGCGATCCGCGGATGCACGTGAAAATGTGCAAGAAGATCGCCCAGCTCACCAAGGTAAGGGACTGCACTGCGGGCTGGACAGCTGCGCGCCCGCGGCGCCTGGGGCCGTGGAGAAAGTGCGGGCGCGCCTCAGGAGAAACCCAAGGTAAATCCGGGCAGAAACTTTGTCTGGGAAGCCAGCTGGGCAGAAAAGCGGCCCTAAACCTGGGTGACTTGACTTTCTGGAGCTACATCCTAAAGCAGCAGAGAGAGAGGCTCCTTGCCAAGGAAAGTCCTCCAGTCTGCGTGCTGAGCAGGTGCTCTGTGATTTTCCCACGGTGGGAATGTGAATCGGGTGGTAGGGTGGCATATGTGTGCTTTCCTTTGCCAGCTCGGCTCGAGTGATCGTGCCTGGAATGCTGTGATTTCATTCATGGCCTTACTTTATAGTTGCGGAGGTCATGTGGGCTCTAAACACTTGATTCATTTAGTCCTTCATTCGACGAATACTGGAGTCATTTCTTGAGTGCTAGCAGCTTGAGGCACCGTACTCACCCTGGAAGGCAGCCCAGGGGACTTACTATCAAAGTGGGTGCAGACGTGTGTAGGAGTATGAATGGGGAAGAGCTCGCTGCGCTGTATAATTGTGGCATTTTCTAGGACCTTGGGAGGTCATCCAGCCCATCTCCCTTCTTCAACCCAGAGCCCCGGTTGAACCTCCGCAGACTGTGGCGTCTTACTCATGAAGACCACCGGCAAGGAGATGCCACCTGTGCCCTTTGTTAAAACCTGCTGCTGCTTCCCAATTAGGAGCTCTTCTCGTGTGCCTCTTTGTCCCTAGTGAAGATAAAGAGCAGCATTCCTCCCTGTCTTCTAAACAAAGTTTCAGTGGATGAATTTAGCTGTGGTCTTGGGGTTTCCTTTTGGTGGTATAATAAACTCCTGATGCAGTGCCTGCCGAAGGAGTCCCAAGGTGGCACAAATGGTTAAGCGCTGGACAGCTAGCCAAAAACTTAGCGTCTGAACCCATGCAGAGGCACCTTGGAAAGGTCACAGCCTCAAAAACCCTATGGAGCAATTCTACACTACACACATGGGGTCGCCATGAGTCAGAATTCACTCCACTGGCAACTAACCACAACAACAACCTGGCCTACTAGTGGAAGAGCAGGTCCAGGTTCTATCCAGTAGTGTGTAGAACATGCTCTCTTCCTTTCCTTTTTCCTCACTATCTCCGTCCCACTTCCCCACCACCCACTCTTGTGTGGCATCACAGGCACTTTCCCCTCTCACTATTTTGCAAGAACGAATAGAGCACAAAGGCTTGGGAACTGGACACTAGCAAGCTTCTCTAGGCCCTCCCATTAACTTCTCCACATTCTTTGCACATGAGCCTGGCTCCAAACAGTGATTTCTTTAGTCAAGAATGGAAAAGAAGTAATGGAGAGACCCCTTGGAGGCCTTGGCATATGATACTGGCACCACTGATATAATCAACAGTTATCTCTAAATGGTGATACCAACCCAAAAGAGTATTTATTCAAGTACCTGGCAAGGTGCTAGGCACAGTATAAGGCATCTTCTCTATTTTCAAAGAATCTAAAATATTGTTGGAGAGACAAGGTGGTTTGAGATATTGAGAGAAAACTAAAAGACAGTGCTATATATAGTCAGTTGCTAAATTGGGTGGTTCTGATTATGAGTGCTGTGGAAGCAGAAGCAAAGGCTGAGTCATTATGGGCAGGAGAGGTTGTATGGGAGAGATGAACCTTGGATTCAGTTTGAATTTATAGAGTGCCTGCTATGTGCCAGGCACTGTGCTGAAAATAAAACAGTGAAGATAGGCACGATCCCTGGCACATAGTAGGTGGTGTTTCTCAAAGTATATGCTGCATTATAATCATAGTTGATTCTTATTATGTAGTGCCTCTTTTTACCATTTTTCATGCTAGTTGCTTAAATTAGATATTTTTATATTTATATTGATATCCCACCTTTCTTTTGGCTACTACTGATATGTTGCATACTTGCCAGCTCTTTACACCTCATCTTTCTATGCGTTTTGTTTTATGAGTTGTGTCTGTGATGGATGAGTTTATTTATTGGGCATTTAGTGTGATTAGTTGGGTGGCTTATTCCATCATGTTTCATGTTTTTTGTTTACCATCCTTTTTCGTTTCTTCTTTTTTCCCCATTCCTGCTTCTCTTGGACAAGTAAAGCTATCTATATACTCTGCTGGTTTGGGAATGTTAGGCTATATTTCTATTCTCAGAATTGCCCTTTAGTTTTCAACATACATATTCAAGTATAATTTTTTTCTAACAAAGTTGTCATGTAATTCTTTCTTTGCATACTTTACCCATTTAACAGCCCTGTCCTTTAAAAGTCAAAAGTTGATTAAGTTTACTGACATTAAATCGATTTCTGGGCTCACTGTTGTTGTTTTTTTTCCTTGAATCCAGTGCCTTCTCCTTGGATTCACTTTTCTTCTGGCTGAAGTTCATCCTTTAGTAGTTCTTTCTGTCAGGGACTTGGTGGAGGAGGAAATTCTTTGTATATTTGAAAATGTCTTTATTTTGCCCTCACTCTTATGTGATAATTTTTTGGGGGGTATAAAATTCTGGTGGATAGTTATTTTCCCATAGCACATTGATGACAGTACTGTATTGCCTTCTGCTGTTAATTGCTGCTAGTTAAAACATCTACTGCCAATACAATTTTTCATTCCTTTGTAAATAATCTGCCTTTTATCTTTGATAGCACTTAAGTTTTTTTTCTTTATTTTTGACGTTCAGCAGTTTCACTAGAATTATCTCCGTGTTCGTTTATCTTTATCCTCTGCAAAACCAGCAGCATACTTTCTACTGAGTGCTCATATTCTTTCTTTGTTGCTGTTGAGTGCTGTCAAGTCTATTCCGACTCATGTTGTTGTTGTTGTTAGGTGCTGTCAAGTCAGTGCTGACTCATAGCAACCCTAAGTACAAAAGAACAAAACACTGCCCAGTCCTGCGCCATCCTACAATCGTTGTTATCCTTGAGCCCATTGTTGCAGCCACTGTGTCAATCCATCTCATTGAGGGTCTTCCTCTTTTTCACTGACCCTCTACCCTCTACTTTCTCTAGGGAGTGATCTCTCCTGTTAACAGGTCCAAAGTATGCAAGACGAAGTCTCACCACACTCGCTTCTAAGGAACATTCTGGCTGTACTTCTTCCAAGACAGATTTCTGCGTTCTTTTGACACTCCATGGTATATTCAATATTCTTCGCCAACACCACAATTCAAAGGCATCAATTCTTCTTCGATCTTCCTTATTTATTGTCCAGCTTTCTCATGCATATGAGGCGATTGAAAACGCCCTGGCTTGGATCAGGCACACCTTAGTCCTTAAAGTGATGCATAGTGACCCTATAGGCAGAGTAGAACTGCCCCATAGAGTTTCCTAGACTGTAATCTTTATGAGAGCAGGTTGCAGGTCTTTTCTTCTGCACAGCTGCTTGTGGGTTTGAACCATAGACCTTTCAGTTAGCAGCTGAGCTCTTAAGCATTGCACTACCAAGATTCTTGTTCTTTCTTTAATTCTGGAAAATTATCAGTGATTTTCTCTTGAGATATTGTTTCTCTGCCATTGCCCTTATTCTCTTTTCTGGACTCCCATTTGGTAAACGAGGAGGCCTCTCTATCCATATCCTGAAATGTTATTTTAAAATTTAAAAAAAAATTTTTTTGGTGTCTGTGTTGCATCCCGGTAAATTCCTCAATCGTGAGTTCTGATTTGCCAGTTCTCTAAATAATTTGCCCAGACCAGGGTCTTTCCCATCTATTAAGTTTTAGAATGTCAATGATTATAGTTTTCAATTCTAAAATTACTGTTCTTATTTTCTTTCTTCCTGATTTTGATTCGTAATTTTTTTGCTTATTTTTAACAGCTTTACTGAAGTGTAATTTGCATATCATAAAATTTACCCGTTTTAAGTGTGTAATTCAATATTTTTTAGTTGTTGAGCCCTGACCATAATCCGGTTTTAGGACATTTTCATCATCCAATGAAATTCCTCTCTTGTTGCTTGTTTGCAGTCAATCCCTGTTCCTACCTTCCATCCCAGGCAACCATTAATCTACTTTCTGTCTCTATAAATTTACCTTTTCTGGACATTTCATATAAATGAAATCATACAGTATGTGTGTGATCTTTTACGTGTAGCTTTTTTCACTTAGTTGCTAAATCTTAGCATACTATTTGTTTTTTGTTTATTGTAGTTTAAGTGAAAGTTACATTTCAAGTTAGTTTCTCATACAAAAATTTATATATACATTGTTATGTGACCCTAATTGCTCTCCCTATAGCATAGTATTTTTGAGGTTCATCCATGTTGTAGCATGCATCATTAACTCATTCCTTTTTATTGCTAAATAGTATTCCATTGTATGGTTATACCATTTTGTTTATCCATCCACTAGTTGATGGATATTTGGATTGTTTCCACTTTTTGGCTATTATGAATAATGCTGCTACAAACGTTATCTTCCTGTGCAAGTTTTTGTGTGGACCTAAGTTTTCGTTATTCTTGGGTAGATACCTAGGAATGGAGTCTTTAGGCTGTGTGGCAACTTTATGTTTAACTTTTTAAGAAACTGCCGAACTGTTTTCCAAAATAACTGCACCACATTAGTCTCCAGTCTGCTTCTTCAGCTAATTCTTCCGGTGTATCTCCAAGCACCCAGTTCTCACATCACAGTGAAGTATGTTTCTCTCCTGCCTCCACCATATACTTGCTTCCCTCTCTTTTTGTCCTCTTGGTTTCCTCTGCCTGAAGTGCTTTCATCTCGAAAAGTTGAATTCTACTTACCCTTTAAATCCTACTTTCTCCAGAAAGGCTTCGAAAAACCTCGGTTTTGTAATTAATCATGTATCAATTTTTCATTGTGTATTACATTTTTTTATTCATCTGTTTCTCCAGCAGTTTGTACAATGTCTTGCACATAGTAGACCCAAAGTAATCTTGTTAAATGTAATTAAAGTTGCACCCCACAGATTTGGTTAATATTTCTTTTGTGATACTTATACTCTGATA